TTTCTGCCACGTTCTGAGAGTTGAAACAAAGCTATCTAAGAGATGCGAAGATACCTGAAAACGCACAATCTTCTATCTCACATGTTAAAAGGATTTTAATAATTTAAACACAAACTGCTGTCGGCAGTTTCTGGAGCACATATGCACATTCATATATGCATTTTCTTAGTTTCTTCCCTCTATTTTTGTTTATTTATTATTCTAGGGGCTTTAAAGTACGAATGTTTTCCTAGCATTAAATATAGCATACATCATCACTACTTAAAGCAGAAATATTCAGTGCTCATTTTTCCTCTTTCATGATTTTATCTGAACAGTGTGTTTTATTTTTGATGATATTTCATATTTACTTTGTAACAAGCACCCTATGAGCTGTTCAGGAAGAGAGATGAAAGCACATTTGTTAACTATGGGGAGTTACTGGGTTTTAATACCAGTCCCACCTTCTCTGTGGCAGTTTTCCCTGGGTGGAAGGGGGGTGGCTGAGGGATGTGGGGTCATGTGTGCATGTAGCATGGGAGGGCTAGCGTGGCATTGCGATCCTTTGCTGAGTCCTGCTGGCATCAGATCCAGGTCCCCTGGGGCTGGGAGACATTGCTGAGAGCCTGCAATAAAAGCCAGCAAGCAGCAAGGAGCAATCCCACAGCCAGCCAGGATGCTGGGGGGTGCCAACATGCCCCTGGGCTGCCTGTGAAGGCAGCTGCCCAGGAGCCCTGGGGCTGCTGTTGTGTCCTGGCTGCAGTCAGGACAGGTCTTCCCCAGGCAATGCCTTCTCTTTTCCTCAGGTGATGGCAGAGAAAGGCCAGATCATACCAGCAAGTGTGGCTTTGATGCTCAGTTACCATTACTAAATATATCTTTAACTTAACAAAATATCAAATCAGTGCTGTCAATTCCACTGGAGGTTCTTAAATCAGTACCTGACATTGCAGCAGAGAGTGTATGCATTTATTTGGTGGGGGGAACTCGAAACAAAGGGAAGAAAACCAAAACTATCATGATCTCTTTTGCAGCATCCATTTTTGTCTGTGCTTCTGGGTTTAATGAGGTAGCTGATGAAAATCAGAGGTGTTCCCTTTGCCCATTGGAACACTAGGATGAGCCCCTCAGCGATCTTAAATACATCCTCTGACTGCCCTTTTCTCATGACTAGAGGGAAATGAGGCAATAACCTCATTTGATTTGCACATCCCACAGAACTTGCCAGTGAGGTTAGACACCTCTGTGCAGCTAATTTAAGCCTGCTGGTTCTGGGTTGGTTTCTCTTTCAGAAGCTGCATAGAGGTATGCTGCTGACCTGCCAGGTTAGAAACCACTGGAGTAGATAAATATTAGAAATATGATGCTGATGGGTTTAAAGAAGAAACAATCGTCTGTTCATGCAATATGAGAGCTACAAATGTAAACTAACAGTTTGGTTGTACGTCTTTATTTTACAAACTCTGCCAGTAGAGATACATTCTAAAGATGTCATTTTGTGCCCAGTTCCTAATGAGATCCCAGGTATGTCAGAGCGCAGACACCTCAGCAATAAGAACTAAAGCTGATCACATGAACTTTACATAATTATGAGCTGAGAACTTAAAGAACATCACTTATGTCACTCATTTCCCAGAGGTGAGCACAGACTGATCGCACAGACTGATACGGGAGACCACAGAGAGAAAATACTATGTATGAAAGCATGGTGCAGACCTGATCTGTGTTCCAGTTACCTGTTAACAAATGAGGCAGATTATTCCTGCAAGGCATCTTGAATTTCTTGGAAAAATCGTTTTTAGTAAGTTGTCTTTTGCTTGTCAGTAGGAAAAGACTGGTAACAAAGTCAAAAGATTTTGGACAACACTTTCTTAGAATCTAGACGGCAAAATGGCCATTTTGTTGGGTTTGGATTTGACAGCCTAATACTGGCATTAGCTCGAAAAGTTAATAGTCATCTGCTCTTCTCCTGCACTATAATACTACAGCTTTGTATCCATAGGTGATAATGTCACTACATGAACAGTAAATGTTCACATTTACCAAAGCTGTAAGCCAAATGAAGCCCTGAAGGCTATTTAATCACCTAACTTAAAGTTTCATTTTCCTGAGTGCTGTGGCTGTAATGACTTTCATGGAAGTCAGTAGATTTAACTCATTATTTTAGTTTCCTTTTGTAATAATTTAATATTGTTTTCAAATGCATTTTATTGTGATTCATTTTATTTTGTTGTTGTTTTTTTATTTCTGTATTTCCAGTGGGACTGTTTTTAAATAACAGATTTTGTAATCATACCAATAAAGGTGTTACATTTGAAATGTTATTTGTGGCGAAGAAGAAACACCTTATAGATAAAGCCAAGAACTTATTATTAGTATCATTTATATTTTAACAGTGTAATCCAAGAGTCATTAGTTGAGATCTGATTACTACAGAAAATAACACTTTGTGCAGAAAAAAGTTTCAGTAACAATAATAATGTCAGTATTGTTCTACATACACTTCTTAGCTTCTACCCCTTTTCCCAGTGTTTCATTCACCCTCCCCCTGCTCCTGCAGGTCCTGAAATGGGCATTTTCAGTCTGGTGGGGATCAGTGGAGCATTATGGAGTGTCATTGGCATCTGGAGTCCTTTAATGGGAAGGATATGATGTTCATTGTGATGGTTTCTTTTTCCTCACTCCCTAAGATTTACTTGGGAGCATTTTTATGTTTGCTAACACACTTTTAGACCTTGCTGTTTTTTTACTGATCTGAAGCTCCACTTACAGCCAGGTTTACTATACACAGTGCCTTTCACATGTTAGACACTTCTTTGTTCTCCTCATTGCTTCTAAAAGCAGTTTTGCCCAGCCCCAATCTGCATTTCTTTAGCACTGGTGAGTTGTTTATAGCTGTGAGGTCTCCACTGCCAGCCTGTACCCATCTCTCTAGCAATGGCAGTACCATATTACAGGGCTGCAGGTAACAGAGGTCATGATACAATTCAGGCACACTTCATACAATATGGGGTATGTAGGTAGAAAATGTGAAATAATGTACACATGAAAGGTAGCCATGGTTTAAGTGTCAAGTAAGTGTGTTTGCTGAGACAAATAATACAGTAAATGGCATATCTGACAGAGCTGGCATTCCAGTTACTCATTATCGGGTAATATTCATACAGATCAGAAAAAATGCTGAAGTTTTTATAAAACTCAGCTGCAAAGACACAGTCCAATATAAAATTCTGTATGGTGGAATTTTATTTGTAAATCAGCAAAAAGCACAGTAGGAACACTGGGGGAAGGCAAGAGCAGGAGGCCAGATCTGTAGTCCCATGTTTACTTATTTCTGCTCTCTGATTATCTTCAGGAATATGTAATGTATTTCTTCCTGTTTATTCCTGGGTGATAGTATGTATGACTTAACATGAGACACCAGTCCAGAGACAGATATTAGATGCTGTGAACTGAGAACATACACTCACAAAATCTTTATATTTGGGCACTTTTTGAATGCCTACCACCTGCGAGGGGATGGCTGGAGATGCAGTGTAAGGGATTGTGCAGCTGGCAGTTATACCTTGTGACCGGGAATGCATGGTTTGCATTAGTAAGAAGGCAAAAAGAGAGTAGCCTTATTTCTGGTTTCTCCATCTGTAAATTGGCACTTTCTGTGAACACTGAGAAACAGGTACCAAGAGTCAGGTTTTCTCATTGCTTGTGCTCCTGTTAATCCATTTAACTCAGGATCACAAAGAGTTAGCACAAATCAGCTGCTGTTAGTGTTTGGGCTATGCTATTCCCTGCTGATAAAACTGTTCCATTTCCCTTCCACTGCAGAAAATGTTGAAGCACTTAACAGTTCTTGGAAGTTAAGTTATATATAGTGATTTATCTCTCAGAGAAGATTCTTAGTTTTGAATAACTTTTTTCATTACCCTGGTAGGAAAATTTCAGCCTTACAGAACCAGGGAAAAAAAAAGAAAGGAAAAAAAAAAAAGGAATTGGCAATGGAATTGGGAGATGGCTGTGCTGGAATGGTTTTCATGTGAAGGAGGCACAAGTCACTCAGAGAGTTCCTTCCATTTCATTCTTTTACTTTCAGTAATCCAGGTGCCTGTTGCACCAGCTTGTGAGATCCAAGTCCAGAGGTATGCATGGGAACATGGCCACTATGTTTGTAACAGTAGATCACCAACAATCTGTGGTGCACAGAGTAAGCACTCAGGCACTAATCCCACTGGCTAGCACTACTGCTAGGCTTTCAGTTTTAGCTCTAATGAGCCATGCTGTTATACCCATTTTCAAGTGACTGATGGTGGGTGAAGATAACCGAGCAAAAAATTCCTTTAAATGCAGATCCTCTTCAGCTGGCTTACCACATGCTACCAAAGTATGCAAAATGACAGGTAAGAGCTTCCACATTTCCAGCATTACCCTGTCAGGTGAAATACAGCAACAAAGAAAACTGCTTGGATTGATTGAGGCAGATTGCACTGAAGACCCTGCACTTGCAGGGTGTTTATTTTGATGTATTACTTGCAGGGTGTTTATTTAGATGTATTAAGGCCAAATACAGGAAACACCCTGTAAGCTGAATACAGATACATGAAATGTTTGAAGGGGTCAGGCTTTCTTTGTCAGTTTCTTACCTGTAAACTGTTTGTCAAATTAGTAACAGAAGTTGTAATTGTATTGCAAGCTTGCTATATAGGTACTCATATGCTTAGACAACTTGGTATTCGTATGCTTAGACTACTTTGTACTATCAGCTGTTACAGTGGGTTCAGTATTGTCACTATGAAGTGAACTTTTAAACACATAATTGCATGGAGCTGAAGTAGAAATCATGTTTAATATCTAATATAAATAAGGTATTCTATTTCAAGTGATTCAGTCAACCTTAAAGTAATAAAATCCAATCATAAAAGGCTTAAAAATAGAACCCTTCCCTTTTATTAATTTAAGCCATTTTAAAGGGTAAAAATATACTGTGAAAGCTTATATTTAACTTTTTTCTTTTTTTATTTTAACAGGACTGGGAATTTCCACATTTTATGGGTGATGTTGAAGTGAATCTTCCAGGTTTACCATCTGCACACATGCAGTTCAAAGTACCTTATTTCCAAAAGATCCTCAAAGAGGAGTATCACATACATATAACAGGTATGTGATGTTTCAGATTGTGGCACAATCCCACAGTTAACCGCTTCTGTGTAACAAATGTATGCTAACATGTTCTTAGCCACATATATTTGTGTGGGTGTGCATGTGTGTCCCTCAGATTGCTATTTTTCTGTTTCTGTCCAAATCTATATCATCATACATAAAGATCTCAGGGAAATGAATAACCTGTATCTCACGAATCAGAGAGACCTGCTGTTTTTCATGGATTCCAGCAACTTCTTGTGACACTAAGTAATACCTAGTGTAGCTTTATAGATCTTTTATCTAAAATTACTCTCCTGGGGAATTAGCAGCTTATTTCATCTTCAAATCTCTTATGCTTTCAGATGCTTTTGCTATGATTTATGCTAATATCTTTTCATAACTTCGGTCATTCTCATCTGGTAAAGGCCACTCATAACCATACTTCCATCAGTCATCTAACCAGAAGCAGACAGTTAAATAACCTCAAATAAAATAGAATTGCAGTTATTCAAATGGATGGTACATATAGATAAAAAGTACCTGATCCTTGCATACTGTGAGACAGTATTTTAATAACAGTAGGAAATGAAAAAGAGAAAAAGGTTAAATAGGGATGAATACTTTGGTTTTACCTTCCATCTGTGCAGGAGCATAGCTGCTCTCTCTGCATTGGCAAAAGTTGGATAATAATAAATACCAAAAGAATGCAGGTGTGAATTGCCAGGGGTCTTTAACTGCTAATGTAAACAATCACAACACATGATTCTGTACAGCAATAAGATAGATGAGGGCATCCAATGGCACAGCTGTATGAAACTCCTAGAGATCAGGGACAAAAGGAGCATTCAGAGATGATACAAAGATAAAGCCAAGAGTTAGCAGGTTAGTCACAAGCTCACCAGGGAGCAAAAGCCAAGGGAAGAAAATGTGCCAATGAGGAAAGACTGATGAACCAAAGGCTCAGACAAGATAGGCTGAATGAGGCTTCAGAAAAGGCATTTTCAGTAGAGAATGACTGATCACATTAAAAACCAGAAAGGAAGAGAAAATGATTGCAAAACTTACGTGTTGGCTATTGAATGAGGGAAGGCAATTGGCTGTAGGAAGTACAGATGGAGGGATAGAAAGTTTTTCAAAATTGCATCTAGGTGCCGTGCTGGAATACTGAGAGAAAAGATACAGTCATCAAGAGGAAAGGACTGGGGCAAGTCTGAGTGAGACTGTTTGAGCCACCAGTGGTTTTCATAGAATAGAATCATGGAATAGTTAGGGTTGGAAAGGACCTTAAGATCACCAAGTTCCAACCCCCCTGCCATGGCCAGGGACACCTCACACTAAACCATATCACTCAAGACTCTGTCCAGCCTGGCCTTGAACACCACCAGGGATGGAGCATTCACAACCTCCCTGGGCAACCCATTCCAGTGCCTCACCACCCTCACAGGAAAGAACTTCCTCCTTATATCCAACCTAAACTTCCCCTGTTTAAGTTTGAACCCGTTACCCCTTGTCCTGTCACTGCAGTCCCTAATGAAGAGTCCCTCCCCAGCATCACTATACCCACCCTTCAGATACGGGAAGGCTGCTATGAGGTCTCCACGCAGCCTTCTCTTCTCCAGGCTGAACAGCCCCAACTTCCTCAGCCTGTCTCCATACAGGAGGTGCTCCAGTCCCCTCATCATCCTCGTGGCCCTCCTCTGGACTTGTTCCAACAGTTCCATGTCCTTTTTATGTTGAGGACACCAGAATTGCACACAATACTCCAAGTGAGGTCTCACAAGAGCAGAGTAGAGGGGCAGGATCACCTCCTTCGACCTGCTGGTCACACTCCTTTCTATGCAGCCCAGGATACAGTTGGCTTTCATTTTTTTCATCAACCAACACCCCTAAGTCCTTCTGCGCAGGGCTGCTGTGAATCTCTTCTCTGTTTTGGAACAGGATGAAGTAAATGATCTCATGGTCAGGAACTAGAGGTGTAGGGTGAGAGGAAATCAGATGTGTACATAACGAACACATTTTTTGTCGCCCAAGTGAGCAAAAAAGGAGAGGGAAAAAATAAAGTATAAGCATCAAATACTTGATATGAATTATAGGCATGTTAGTGAAAAATAGTTTTTTTCTGCTTCTCAAGACTGAAGCATGAGTTTGGATGGGCTGAGTCCCACAAGGCTCCCTGATGCCCTGCGGTTATTCCATTGTATAAAGAGAAGTAGTCCAATGGGTGCACAAAGGGGCACGAACAATGACTGAAGAATGGTAGGATGGGTGGCACCATCGCATACAGAAATGCAGACTATTATAGTTAATGTAGATGAAAAACAATAGGTGATAGAAGAGCAAAGATCAGTTTTGCATTGTAGAAGAGACAGAGATACTGATGATAAACATGGAAGAGCAAAGAACAACAGTAAAAAACATCAGTTACCAGATCAGAAATACAATTGCTTGCAGTGCTGCTGTTTGAAAACAGACCAACTGAGAGAAACCAATATTTATGCATTGTAGAGTCTTCTGCATAGGGGACTGGAGGCCTTTCTTATTTTCTGGCAAGAAGGCATTCTTTTAATAAGGAGGAGCTAATGAATAGGGGCTGAGGAATATTTTTCCCTGCTCAGCGTTAACAAGATCCATTTATTAGATTCACTAGACAAATCAATCCATTTGACTGCACATCACGTACTCTGTCTACTGAGTGCCTGTTTTATCTTGGTGCTACGCCACCCTTTAAGAGATCTAATAAACAGTGATAACACATGGCACAAGAACCTCCCTTTGGGTAAGTTTTGCTTGAACCATCTGTTCTTGCCGTCAGTTCTTGTCTTAGGTCAGGGTATTATCTTGGATCATTTTCAAGCTCTAGATATTGTGTAGATGCTTAGATACTTGTAATTTTCTACTCAAACCAAGAAGCTAATAAAAGGAAAGAAGAACTGGTTAAATATATATATAACAAGATGAATGTAGTCCAGTCTAAAATGAGAATGATGCAAATGAACGCAACTGCAGCAAATGACATAGGGATAGCACGCTGATAATGGCAGGCAGCCTGCTGCATTTAAGCCCTGTTTAATACATGGAATCCAGAATGTTAAATTAAGCCATAGGACTTCTTTTTAGTAACAGGCAGGAAAAGAAGACTAAGGCCTGAATATTTTTTATTTTAGTACTTGCTATAGGGATAAAGTCAAGCTGTAAATCTATGACCTGTGACCTGATTTATAGAAACTGGAAACACTTTTCTCTCAAATAGCAAGGAGAAAGAAAGTGTGGCTGAAATAACACTTACCATCTTTTACCTGGGGAATTTCACTCTTTTACAGTCAGTTTTGGTCACTGTTGATTGATGTAAGTAAGAGCAGCCCTAGGACTCCCCTGAGCAGCCCAATTCGATGCTGGGTTGCTGTAACAAGCAACAGGCCCACAAAGAAGCAGCTGTAAGTAATGGAACATTCAGAGGAGTAAAGGACTTTAAACCACCTTTCTATTGGTGTGTATTTAATGGCTTTGTGCAAGTGCTCTACAGATGAAGGATTTCACAGTTACATGCTCTGTGTTGCCAACTCTCCTGATTTTATCACAAGTCTTAAGACAGTTGCTTTTCTTTTTTTTTTCTATTTTGTCTTAAAGTCTTAGGTCCTGAATTCAGTGACTATGAGAGAATTTCAGCTTTCATAAAATAAAGCTTATGATTACAGAGAAGAAATGTTGCTTCTGTGTAACTCCAGTATCTAAATGGCAGATAAATATAACAGTGCAAAGTGTATTATTTTTAACGCATCTTGCTCCTTTAAACTAATAACATGCTTTCTTAGGCCTGATTTATGATTTCTGAATGGGGTAAGTTGGCAGTAATATCAAATTAACATCTGCAGCCTGTAGCTTATATGCTTCGGTGTAATTTTAAATTTACTATCAAAAACATATCTTATCTTTACTGGTAACTGAGTACATCATTTTGCTCAAATTTCTTTGCTTCTAGGAACTCATAGCAAGAATCTATTCAGTATTAAATATTTTTATCCTGTTTTGATAGCTGCTTTTATCTATGAACATCAAAAATAACTTGAATTCCAGCATCTGCTTAACTCATCTGGATTTCCCTTGACAGATGGTTCATTGCAAAGTGTGTGTTTTCCTTCTTGGGCTGCTGTTTATGAAAATACATAGTCTACCCTAGTTTCTATAGTACCCAGGGAAAACTTAAAAGTAAATTTTGTTACTTCAGATTCTTTCATGGTTAAAAGGCATTATGGGTCCTGGCTGGTACCCTTTAATAGCAGCACTGGAGATCCAAGAGCATCTTCTGTCAAGTGTGAGAATAATTTTCAAATAGGAAATGTTAAAATTTGGACATCAAAACAGGTTGGAGATTTTATTCTGGCTGTTTATAAACATGTTTCTGAGTGCTGATGTAACCAGAGTGCCCTTCCAGCCAAAGGAGAAATTATCATCTTGATTGGTGGTGAGTGCCTAACATGGCTGGCTTGTGGAGTTAAACCAAAATGTGCTGACAGTCAGGCCAAGCATCACCTCTACAAGGAAGCCTGAAGGAGCCTGTGGGCAAAACCAGAAAGGTTAGAGGTAAAAACAAAGCTGTCTGTTCACACAGATTTGAAAAAAAGTCAGAGGATTTGCGCCTTAGTTCACCTAACAGTATGCATGTATCTAGCTAATAGGACTAACATGACCAAAGATATGAAGAACATTTCAAAGATACCTAAATGTTTTACAGAGGTGTCTGAGAAGTCGACATTTACTATACTAGCCTCTGGCTGTGGCTGCACAGCATGAGGCCACCTGAGTCTAGCCTTAATAAGTGGATTTTCCGCATTTCCTCTTGACCTCAGGAGGGATGATGAGGACTGCCTTCTACATGAGATCTCTTCTTTTAGGATATTATCATTCAGGTACAGAGTGGACATGCAAAAATAAAAATGCTTCCAAATCAGCACCTGGTTTGGAATACTTGGACCTTCAGTATCTGCTCAATTGCCCAGTAAATCAGTTGCATGTTGGACTGTGGATGGGTTGCTGAACCTGTCATAAACTTTATCAGCCTCTTTTAAAATGACCACTGCCCAAATATCTTGTTCAGCTGATGCCTTTCTGTAAAAGGGAAGAAGAAAAATCCATGCCTCTTTGACCATGAGAATGCTCCTGGCATTCATCTTCATGCATAGTTTTTCAGCTTCAACAGGAAAGGCAGATTATTTCTAAGCAAAATCCCATACAGGCTGGTGTTCAGAGCATGGTTCTACAATGCAGGGCCAAACTGCCATAAGCAGAGATTGTTCTACAGTCAGGGTTTCCTTTCTGATGTGTGCCCTAGCCATGAGGATACAATCCTCCTCAATAGTTATGCTCAGAAAATAAGGATCAAATTTTCATCCCCAAAAAGTGGTTGTAGCCTACAGTGCCCAAGAAAACATTTCACATTTTACATCGCAGACTCACAAATAGAATTAATATCCACAGCTTCATTAATATATTTATTTTGACCCTGTGCAAAAGTAAAAACTTGGGCTTGTTTGTGTGCAAGGTGAGACATCAGGAGTGAAGTCTAATTTACGAAGTTGATTTCCCATGTAAGCTTCACGTATGACCTAGGGTAAAAACCATTATGCTGAAATTAAGTTACGATGGACAATCATTTTATACATGTATATTATACACGTATAATATTAAATGTTGGTCAGTATAAGTCATCTCAAAAATTCCTTGTCATGGGGAATTACCATTAAATAGATGTTTGTGAGTGGACACTGTCAGGCCTTTTGGTTCAGTCTGCTCCAACACATTTATCACTGATCTAGAAGGTTTGCTCATTAAACTGAACAGGATATCACACCTACTAGTACAGCAGTCAAGTGCATGTCTTCGAAGAGGGGATAGACAGCAGAGGACACTGTATTCTAGGAAGAGGCAAATACTTGCTGTAAGTAACCAAGACAGTGCTAACTCCCAGTGATTTTGTATCTAAGGAGATTAACACATCCCTTGGCTGCAGGGAATACTGAGTAGGAGTAGGAAGATGTCACTGTGTTCATATATGGTTATAGCGAGACTGTTACTCATATGCGATGTTTGGTTCTGGTGACAACAGTTTTCAAAAGAGGAGGAAAAATCACAGAGTTCATCAAGCACGACAGTGATGCAGGGGATGGGAAAATGGTCTAGAAATTAGAAATTTAAGGAATTTTGAGAAGATCCAGTATGGAACAGAGGTCTTGGGCACCTAGGTGCCACTTAGACATACAGGTTGCGATTCATCTTAAGGGTGTCTGCATCAAAGCTGATTGTCTAAGCATCCTTTATAGTCCACACTGACCCAACAATCCCAACAGCAGAGCTTACAGCTGTGCTCCTGCCCACCTGACACTGTCTAGGAACTGAGCAAGGGAGTTTCAAGTTCATGCTTTTTATGAAACAGGAATGCTTGAAAAGTATATCTCAGAGCAGGTGAGCAGTCAAATTCATAATATAAGAGGGGTGGAGCCTTTTTTAGGCAGATGCATTTTAGAAGAGATTCACAATTATGAAACCACACTGCAGGATAGATGCTACGTGAAGCCTGAGATCAAGCACCTGGGTACCTCTATTCAGCATTTTTAGTGTTTTCTGCTAGCTTCTTAGTCAGCTTCACCAGCTGCAGGCTGCTGTCTCAAGTCTTACTCCTTAGGTAGCTTGCTCTACATGTTTCATTTAGGACAATGTGGTCACACAGGTGATTGCTGTGAAATCCACTGGGTGCCTTCATACCCAAAAAGGAGATTGGTTATATCTCAGCATTGCAATGTCTAAGTTTCCATTGTCAGTCATAACTGAAACCTACAATCAAGAATTGATTGTAACCTACAATTCTTGATTGTAGGTGTCAGTTATGACACTGTTATACTTCACAGTGTATTTTGGCCTATATAAAGGCCATCTCAATAATGTCCCTGTTTCATTATTGATGTTTCAGTTGTCTGTTTTCTCTCTGCACATCTTCATGCTAGCCATGCCTAGATGAAAAGAAAGAGCAGTACTGGTCCTGCATGAGTTTTTCCACTTCTTACAGTCTCTAGGGTCTAGCAGATCTCTCTGGAAAATCACCAGTCTTGACTCTGCAGAAACACGAAGCATCACAGATAGCATTTTGATGGAAGATTGTTCTTGGATGGGCTTATGATGCATTTTCCTGGGAAAAGAATATGGCTTAACGAATTAAATTCAGGGCAATGAAGCAAGGTGTTAGTTTCTGGTTGAAACAGTTTTCTGGTTGAAGCAGAGTAATAGTTTGATGAAAAATTATTGTTTCAAAAAGTGTGTTACACAACTGGTAAAAAACAATGTGTTCATATTCTTACCCTCCTGGAGCATTTTAGTTGTACAATTTGAACACACAGACTTTCAGGAACTGGAATCCATTTATGCCTTAAAAGCCAAAGCATAAGTCATTTGATAGATACTCTGATACAGTTGTTTTCTGTTTCACTTGAAACATATTTAAATATGGTTCCAGCACAGACCAATAACATTCATCACCAGCAGGAACATTCCTCCATGCATGTTCTTTCATGTAATGCTGACAAGTAGATTTGCTGGGTTCTTGGGTGGTCATCACATGCACAGGTGATGTTCAGCTAGAATGTAAGAGATGCTTTGACTGAGAAAATGTATAATTTGGTTTGTGTATTCATAAAATAATTCTGAATGGATACCTGGAGTTCACCTGTTCCAAAACCCTGTTCAAAGCCCAGTGCAATTGCATAATGTTCTTTAATGTCTTTTGGATGCCTGAAGGGAGCATGCAAAAGAGCAACTTTAAATAATAAAAGGAGAAAGGTTTCCTCCTCCAGTACTGCAGGAGCTGAATGTCAGACTATGAGTCACTCCTTGGAGGAGCATTTCACTACATGGACTGTCGGAAAAGCTAAGCTGTCTAGCCTCCCAAGACTACAGTCAGCCCTCGCTATTTCTCAAGGGTGTAGTATCTCTAAATCACAGTTCATCCAGTTATCCCCATCTGAATATGTTTGTGCATCATGGTTGGTGTATCAAAAAATTTACATAATTACCAACCCCAAAAAATTCAGTCATTTCAGTCGTTCCTGGTATATAAACAGTTCCATCTATTATGGCCTTTTCATGGAAAACTTCCATGTGAATATTTCATAAGTCCTGGAGTTAATGCTTCTTTTAAGTTTATTGATCTACACCAGATCACCTAGTGGTCTAATCGACAGGTCACCTACAAAATGCAATGTGAATTCATTTGATGTACTGCTGTGCTTGTGTTACAGAATTATTTTATAATGTGCCTAGACCTAATCATGAAATGCTAGGGGAAATTCAGCAAAAATCTATAGGGGAAATTTAATTGCAGCTTTGCTTTATAGATTAAAAAAAAAAAAGTGGGTTTGTTGGTTTGGGTTTTTTTTCCTCTGAGTAGCTTTTACATATGACTGAATTTGTACTGCTTCTGAAATGGATATATCAGATGACAAAACTTTCTTTTTCCAAACAGGCAAATGGTTTAACTATGGAATTATCTTCCTTGTTTTGATCTTGGATCTGAATATGTGGAAGAACCAAATATTTTACAAACCTCATGAATATGGTCAATATATTGGTCCTGGACAGAAGATCTACACAGTGAAGGACTCAGAAAGCTTGAAAGACCTTAATAGAACTAAATTATCCTGGGAGTGGAGATCCAATAACACCAATCCGTTGACGAACCGGACCTATGCCGAAGGAGACATGTTCTTGCACAGCAGATTCATAGGCTCTAGCCTTGATGTCAAATGCCTGGCTTTTATTCCAAGTTTGCTGGCTTTTGCTTTGTTTGGTTTCTTCATCTGGTTCTTTGGGCGATTTCAGAAAACTGATCAAGGCATGGAGAATTTAGACAAATCATACACAAGAATGAAAAGAAAGTCACCGTCAGATATGGGAATGACACGAGAAAATACACAGGTGTTGGTAGAAGAACCGTTAAGTTTTCAAGAACCACATCTTGTATCCATAAAATCAGACTTAAGTGAAATAGTTTTTAATTCTTCTCTCCTAACTTCTGAAAACTTGAACGCACAACTGAATGAACCAGATAGCCCTTTACAGCCAGTACCAGAGTCCTCTGTCCCTAAGAATAAACCTGTGACATAAAGGCAAATACCCAGGAAAATCAGTTTAAATAAGCAGTTACTGTAAGATTTCAGTTTTACCTTTTGTAAGTTAAGATTTACATAGTGTTTAGAATAAGAACATATACCAAAAGGTGCTCAGCATGCTTTTTTTAGGAATTTTGGTTTTTATTTGTATTATAGTATGTGCCTACTGTATATCTAACATTCCTTTATAGATTGCTTCCCAAAATTGCACAAGCTGTTTATTAATACATTACCTTAACTGTATAATAGTGTATTAGATGATTACTTGCAGGTATAAAATTCTACCGTGGTGGTGCCTTGAGACATTAAACTGTTTTTTAACTCAACACCAGATGTATAGCACAGTTCTTCTAATCTACTTTGCAAAGCTTTTTGTATATGGTTATTTTAAGTACCATTTGATGTCTTCACAGAGATAAATATAGTTATTCCTAAAGAAGGGTTTGTGTTAGGGCATCACAACTTGACTTTGTTATTAGCTCATCTGCGAAGCCAGTGACTTTGATGACCTGACTGCAGAGAAGCATGTTGATTACCTTTTAATTTTTTGCTGACTAGCTGCCAAACACAAATACAGATTCATTATGTGGTAAACAGCAGAGAGATAATTCAGCATGGGTCACTACTTGTGAAAATATGACTTACTCCATCAGTAATAGCAATTAGGTGATAATGCCTAATTATATTTTTCCTAATTAAAGATAAACTGCTCCTTGATTAAAAGTTTTGCCCTTCACGTTTTAGAAACAGAGGTGAAAATACATTGTAGAAGTAACTCTTTCCATCATCACACCAAACCTATGCAACATCAAGGAGCCAATAGAGTGCTTACAGTAAAGGACACAAAGCCCACTACATCCAGTTTTGAGTAGTTTGGTACCAATATATCTGGGCATACATGAAACATACACAGAAACACATCACATACGGACAGTCAAACTTCTCCAAAAACTAAAGCCATGTTTATGGGTCTTAATTAAAATATGTTAATAACTGATTTTTATTGTAATTTTTTTTTCTCTTCACTCATTATCCATGAATAAGTGTTACCTGAAAGCAGAAACATGGTGAAACTGGGGGGGGGGGGGGAAGAAGGGCTGTGTTTGCTTTTTTGAAGGGGACTCAGTAAAGTGAATTCTTCTACTGTATGATCAAAATATATGCACTAGGGAAATTGCATATCTAAAACATCAGAAAGACTCTGATTTGCCTCTAATTTAGTTTTATAAATTGTTGCTACAAGTTACTAAATAATAAGCCATTTTTAAGTCTGAATTATTTCCCTGTCATTTACTGGTGTTGCTGCATTTTGTCTTTGTGACTTTTTTATCTTTGTTGTTTTGATCTATCTGCTTTTAAGTTTTTGGAATGCTGAATTTAGCATGCATAATAGAATTATGCATTTATTAACTGTCACTTGAGAGCCAATTTTAATAAACATCATTCAACGATTGTTTATTATGAGGCAGGAATATATTCCGTTACTATTGCAATTTTTTGTACACATTTTATCCATGCATTGTCCTGTTTAAAATCATAAATATTTCTGACACTAAAAAAGGCAGTATCACAGCAGTGTCAAAATCAAATAATTTGCTTACGGGACATGTCATATTTCATCAAGAGAAAGTTCACTTTAAAACCAGGCTAAATTTTTAACCATTAAAAATTATGACTAAAAATAAATTTGTTAGGTTTTGCCTACCACAGCCTATAAACTTATTTAATTGACTTAAGATATAGTCAAAGACAAGCCATTAGTTACTGACATGGTAAAACACTGTGAGATCCTGCTCGTACTGTGTGAGAGGTGACTATACTGGTGGTTGACTTTGAAACAGCATTTGATTTCTTAAGTAGTTACAGAAATACCTGAGTAATTTTTCAGATGATACGTGCTTCTCTGTATGTTTTGGACACCTATCGTGGTTTAAACCCAGTCAGGTAACTCGTTCACTCACTCCCCCAATTCTTGCCCTCCCCCTGCTCTCGGAGGGACGGAGAGGAGAATCGAAAAGAATGCAACTCCCACGGGTTGAGATAAGAACAGTTTAGTAACTAAGGTATAACACAAATCACTACTGCTACCACCAATGATAATAATGATAAAGGAAATAACAAGGGAAGAGAATACAACACCTCACCACCAGCTGACCGATAACTCGCCCCCCCAGCCCGACCAAGCTCTGACCGATACCTCCTCCAACCCTGCAGTCCCCCAGCCCTTCCAGGTAACTCCCAGTTACCACCTGGGCATGACATGCTGTGGTATGAAATACCTCTTTGGCTAGCTTGTGTCAGGTGTCCTGTCTCTGCTTCCTCCTGGCCTCCCCTCCTCCCTGGCAGAGCATGAGGCTCACAAAGTCCTTGGCCAAACCAAAACATCAGTGTTATCAGCTCTGCTCCCAGGCCGAAAGTCAAAACACAGCACTCACCAGCTACCAAGAAGGAGAAAAATGACTGCTACTGCTGAACCCAGGACAACACTGTAAACCCAAGTACAGAAAATCTCCTGTTAGCTCATTTCTCCTTTTTGTGCATAGGAGTGGTTAAATCCATTAATATGGAGGCAGAAAATGAAAGAATTACTTGAGCCTTACAGCCTGTGTGATTACATGACTCTGAGAAAACTGTTATTAAGCAACTGATCCGCAGCTGAAATTATTCTGTGACCTCACATTGAGTTAATGCTTTTAAGGTCATTATAAGCCTGTATGAAAGAGAGAAAGGCATCAAGTAATCCTAGGTTTTGCATGAGTATTTAAATTAATGGTCAAGCAGAGAGACTGCTTATATCATGAATTCATAAGAAGTTAAAAGATTCAGTGTAGCCACTCACCATGGTCATATCATCACTTTAATTAAAAGAAGAAGGACTCCTCAGTTCTGTGGGAGTCTCATTTGTAAAAACAGACACAGATGGGAGAGGAGTATTTCCACTCTCCGTTTCTACTATTAAGCTTGAGAAACCTGAGTTAGGTGGCTACGCTTACTCTACGCTCCTTCTGAAGCAGGCAAAGACTGGGGAGCTGAACACCCTAAAGGTGATTTGGTACCTAATGTAGTCATTTTTGTCTGCGTGACTAAGTAGCACAACTCAGCAGGAATGGGTTTATGGTGTGAAACGGTGCTGAGGATGCAGAGCCCACAGTTAGTGCATTTCAAGATTTTACTTCAGCTCTTCCCTGGTCCTTATAAACTGAACAGACAGCAGTATGTTTTGGACAAATCTCATTCATGTGTAGACACCATGCGGTTTGGATTAGGGGACAGTAAGTGGGCACAATCTAAAGTGCATTCCTGAGCTGAGTCATCCTCAGCTTTCTGAAGCAACTTGTCTTCCTCTGTGGACCGTAGAAGGGTCCATGGGAGACTGGGTGGCTAAGTAGAAGGCTTAAAATTGGTTACCCAAAATGGAAATACTCCTTCTGGAAGTACATTCATTGTTTTCAACTGTTGCTCATTATTAATATTCTGAAATACTTCACTAACTCAAAACACTCTGAAATGCTTTCTAGTCTAGTACCCGTGACTAGCACCTTGATATGGATGATTGGCCTTTTCCTATGTGAAAATAGGAAAAAGGTTTTTTGTGAAAGCCTATTACACCAAGATTTTAGTTGGTTGTTTTTTTTTTCCTTCTGTGAAGAAGCTGGAAGAATCCACAGAACAGAAAAGATGAAGTGTCAGATTTTTCACACACTGCACAGCTCTCCATTCTGCCCTCTATAACAACCCATCCAGCCGCTGCCATCACTAAAGGGCTGGCCTGTGTCCACTTTGTCAGAGATCAGATTTGGTACAATAGTTCTTTTTTTTTTATCATAGATACACTCTACAATGATGAATGATAGATGCTGCCTAAAATAGCATACATAGAGACATCTCTAGGATAAGCACATAAGATTTATGAGCCCACAGTTATTTATAGCATCCCCAATCTTTGCAGAGGTGGAAATGACATGGAGCAAATAGAAGGTAAGAATATTTGTAGAAAGTACCTTAAATACAATATTCATGCTTATGAAAATGTATATGTATGTCTAAAATCCAACTGCAGAAGATGTGTATGTGTAAGTGTATGTATGTTAGGAGCCTAGGGATTAGTTGATTTTGTTGGGGGAAGCTGCTGAGTCTCTCAAACAGATGATTTACTACTACCCTCTTTATTCTACATCGCTTCAGGAGTTACTTACTCCAGGTTGCTTCATCTCCCCTGCCTCCATTTCTATTGCCTAGAAAATATAAAACCAAAAAAGAACATTTAACTGCACTATCTGCTTCCCCAAATTATGGTGTTTCTTTTCCTAATTTATGCAGAAAGGAAATTTGTTCTGTTTAAAAGATTTCTGTCCTTTCCAGATAGTGTCATCATACTGTGGTCTACTGCACTGTATTACAGGATATGTTAAATTATTGCTTTTCCTGCAGTGGGTAGCCTCCATCATGACAACCACCTGGAAACAAAGAGCAGACTTCCACTCAAAGACTGGAAAGGCAGCAATTCAGATACTGGACTGGCAAGCTCATTTTCCCACAAGTGAACAGGTTATGACTCACTAGTAAAAGATGTAACAGATTTTTAATACACTGCCTTTAATTTTAAAAACCTCCTAGGAAGGGCTCTGTGGGAGAGAACTTTTTATCTCAGGCCATAAATTTGAAGTAGTTACAGTCCTGCAAGCAGAGTGTTTCAGCTTTTCAGGTTGCATTTCAAAGTAACCAGCTTAAACTTTGAGCAGATTACAAGACAAACCTAACTGTGATTTGATTAACTTGTAGCTGTGCAGTGCAGGATATAGACAAACCACCCATTTACCAGAGGTTAGAGTGACCCCATGCTAGGGATTATGGACAGTGACATGCAAAGATTCAAAATGCATTTATTAGCAGAGTCGCAGTCCGTTTGTCAATAGAGATGCCACTGCAAACACCAGACAGACCATCTCTTCTACTATACTGTCTCTTGTCCATCGTTCTAAGTCACAAATGACAAAGAGGTTGTTCTTTTCCCTGTGCAGTCAAAACTGTTGTGTGGGGAGGAGCATGGGCTCCCTAAACGTGATATGGCATGTCACTGTGATACATAACATACAAACTCCAGATAGGACAACCAAAGACAGGCAAAAGGAGAAAGTCTGATCTGTGAGTTCCACAGCCTTGAGGTGAAGCAGAATGGCTTATGTGACCAATTTAGAAGGAATTTAATATAAACAGAAATCCTGATTCACAGGAACATGAGGGAACAAATGGAGAGACAGCAAATCACAAGAAATCCTTTCTATCCCCTTCAGATACTGAAACAGAAGCAGCAAGACCTTGTACCCGAATGCTCACAAACAATTCTCAGCTTCTAGATGACTTCTGGGTGAGTAGCTCTTCCAGGTGACTAGGTTTTGACACCATGTTATTTCCCTCTTAACACTTCCTCTGCACGAGGAATGTCAGCAGCTTTTCACTATCTGGGGGAAAGGGGTAATTTTCTGAATGGGAAGTAGGGAAGAAACTTATGAAGGAGAAGCCACATGAGGCTCCAGCAAACTCCTTATTGGAGAGAGCAAAAGCATGAATCCAGTTGCTTTGCAAAGACGAGTGAAGTAGCATCAAATCCTCTCAGAAATATATGTTACAGCAGCAACACAGGCACAGAGATACTTCTAATCTCATGCTTTTCCTTTGATGTGTAGCAATTGGGGTCTGCATAACAGAAGTTTATTTGATTCCTGCAGGCAGGTTATAGACCTGGGGCTCATGCTGCTTTGTGACATCTGGAGCACTTCTTGGCGTATTGAATCCCTTCCTCTCTTCCTTTTTTTTTTTTCCCTAAAGTGTGTTTCATGCTTCTGTTTTTATTTCCAATAATTTTTTATTGTTAGTGACTTAAATCACATATCACCCACCAAAGGCCCATAATGTCTGTTTACCGATGCAACACCATCTGTGTTTCCTTCCCTTCCTTTAAGTAGAGATAAGTGTTGGTTTGTGACTGCTTCTGAGATGCTGTATTCCTTGCTGTCCTTTCCTTTGAGAGATTTAAGGGGACATAGAGGGAGTTGATGTGCTGGGGGCCCCTAAGTCTTTTGGACTACAAAGCATACTCAGACATTGTCACAGTTTCAGTGTTTAATTGTTCTTAGAATCATTTCCTGAAAGTATGTATAGACTGAACCAACAGCAGCTGGAGTGAATATATTCCAGTAACGTAGTGGCTCCAGCTGCTCCAGATGTTTGAGGACTTTTGTGAGGTTCATTCCCTGTCAGCTGTGGCAGCCTTGCCAAGTAACACTGCTAAGGGTGCATGAGTGGTTTAACTTCCATGTTATCCAGTGATAACTTAAACCTGATCCCACAAGTACAGAAAATTTCCTGCAATCATTGTTTCTATGTTTCCATGGTGACTAGAAAGAGAAAAATTTCTATTTTTGCTTCATGAAACTATAGAAAAATGGAACATTTTCCAAAATCTCTGCAAGGTTAAAATTAACTTTTGAGCAGACAATAATGCCATTTTCCCTTCATGTGTGCCATCCCTTTACTCTCTTTCTACCCTTTCCATCACTTCTGACCTGCCCGAATTCCATCAGCTCCACAGCAAAGCTACTCCTCAGAAATAATCCCAAAAGGGGCATAGATCAAACTCTTTCCTATGGGATCCTGGAGAGACTTTAGGCATTTTTAATTCAAAAAGAAAAGAAAGAAAAAGAATATTGATTCCAAGGTTTAAAGAGTTTGTTATTTATATAAAAGCAGCTAGAGCACATGGCAGAAATCAGCAGTAACCTCCTGCTGCACTGGAAAAAGGTAGAATATTAAATATTAGGAAGAAACTCATTACTCTGAGGATGGCAAGACACTGGTGCAGGTTGCCAGAGAAGTTGTGGATACCCCATCCCTGGAAGTGTTCAAGGCCAGGTTGGATGGGGCTTGGAGCAACCAAGTGGTTGGTGTCCCTGCCTGTGGCAGGGGGGCGGAACTGGGTGAGCTTTAAAGTCCCTTCCAACCCAAACCATTCTGTGATTCTATGATTCTATAATTTTCCACAGCAGGTCTGCCTACAAGGGCCAATATCATAATTTGTTGAACCTAGGGGTTCAACTATAAGCAGGCTTAGCGTGTAGTGCTTCATAAAACCTCCATGGAAATGTGTGTTGTTGTACCTAAAACAGTAGGGATTTTTTCACTTTTCAAGCCCAGGCTATACCTGGGTTTGAGAGCACAGTTCCCTAGTTAGCAACCAGCCTGTACTAACAGGTTCTTGAAATTCATGCAGGGCCATCTAAAGGCACAAGCTCAGGTCCTTGTGAGCGATATGGTTAATTTAGGTCACTGCACCTGAGCGGTTAGCGCTGTTGCTCTAAAGAGTGCTACAAAGACACAGTGTAATACTGGTCTAACGAGGACTCAAAGACAACTAGCTCGTTCGGGTGTATTTTAGTGCCTTGCAGAAGGCACATGAAGGAATAAACACGCACAGAACAAAGATCTCTGCTCACGTTTTGATGGCTCCAGCTTTACATCACAAAATATCCACCATCTTTTTGGGGAAGTGAACCAGGCAGTTGACAAGACATTTCCTAGAGACCTCTGCTTTCTATCTTCTCTGGTCTTCTGGAAAAATGTACTTTAATCAAAATACCTACTCGTCCTGTAGTTCTTGTTACTATTTCTATCACGGTAGCATGTAAGTGCCTTAGACAGATAAGACTGTAAAGAGTGGAAAGGAACTGCCTGAAGAATTTGTAGTACAAAAGACTTGCAAAAGTAGAAAGAAAAATTAAAATAAAAATACTGAGACATGAAATCACTTGCCCAAGTTCCCAAAAGTCAGGTATTGCACTGCTTGTGTATTTGATTGGGAGTTTGGCCTTTCTAGTTTTCTGCTGTCAAATGTGTTCTTTGTCTCATGAGATTCACAGACACACAGCATGAAACATGCCAGGAACAGCACTGGGCATATTTCACCCTGGTATATATTCCATCTGGAGAAATGGAGTTTTTGAAACGAGAAGGCAATTTCACTAGCATCAGACGTGCATTGTCACCTGCCATGAAAATGCCTGCAGGGTGACCATAATGAGAAGTGGAAATACTTCTCTTCTTTCTCAGCTACCTTCCAGAGTTTGCTGATCTCAGCCTGGGTTCA